ATTAGTCCTATGTTTCTTCATGATGTGTATTTCAGCTTTTCTGCCCTGACCTGGAGGTTAATAGCCCTGTTCAAGTGTTCTGAGAGTTATTTGTCCCTTTTGTTCTCTTTGAAGAGGTGAAAAGGAACTGGTGTCACACTTCTGAAAACTAAATAAATAATACTGTGTAATGGAAGACCTAAACATTACTTGTAAAGCACCTACTTAACTCCAAATCCTGGCATGCGCTACATTTCCTGTTGCGCTTGCCCTATATTCAAAAGATAGCCTCCTCATTTTCTTCATTTCATACTGGAGAAGAAAGATACAATACTGCTCTCAAAAAAATTTCAGTAACAGCAAAACCTGAATAACAGTAATAAAAAAAAAAGGTGTTAATAGTATCAACAAACCAGAATTTTCTAGCCAGAGTCACAGCCGTATTTTTAGTTTATAAAATAGCTTTGATCTCCTCTTCAGGGTTAAAATATAGGAGTATTATTTTCCCTTATTTTTTTCGTAAGATGTTTTAAGTTTTGAAGCTCGAAGCTGGTCAACAGCCGTAGAGATTCTAAATTGCACCTCGGAGTTTTTGAGTGCCTAGAGGAACCTGCAGCCCCGGTGTTAGTAGGGCTGTGAATGCGGCCATGAGACAGGTTTCAGGAAAGAAATAGCATTCAGGGCTGGGACGTTTTGTTTGGGACCTTGTCTGTAATTGTATTGTGTTTGCACCATCAAACTTTGCTACTCATCCGCTAACTGAAAAGTCTTTTGACCCTCACCAACAGGAAGTTTCAGAAACAAGCCCAATATGTGCTAGCCTTGGATGCAAAATACTGGCAAAATATTTAACTGTGAAACAAAATCCTTGTTTGGAGCAGTCTGTCAACTAAATACTTGGTGAAGTGAAAGAAGTGCATTTTCCAGGGCACCTACATTTCAGTCTGCATCAAGTTAATGGTATCTTGGATGTTTTCCTACAACATGCTAAACTTGTTTAAAATTTCTGAAATTATTGAAATACTTTTCCTGTAAATGAGTCATATCTCAGAGATCTCTGGATTATCTTTATGGCTGCCTCTCTGTATTCCGTCAAATCAAATGTCTTTCAGCAGATCAGCCAGTTCCAAGACAAGTAGATTTGAGACCTAGCAAGTAGTTTCCACAATCAAGCTGTTTTGTTATGAAACATCCTCTTCCCAGAAGAGGAAACCTGAGGTTAAGAAGAAAACGCTCTGAGAATATTTTGTTATTATTTACACTGACACAAAGTACAGTGACTATATGCAGGTATAAACCTATTCATAATATGCTGGCAGTTGGCATTATTATTCACAGTAGTACCATTTCACAAAATATATACTGTATTCAGACCTTGCTTGAAAGATTTCAGCCACTGTAATCTGCACCCAGAAGGACGTAGCTGAGATGATAACTTCTTATAGAACTGATAGTCCATGTAATTGCAAAATAAATATATTTAATGAAGTACTATACATAGATACCAAAGTACAGGCTGTTACACATTTTAATACTTTAAAACACTGTTCAAGAATGTTTTCTTCTTAGCTGTAGATTGATTATTGCTTTTATGAATCTCTGAAAAGGAAAGCAGTAAAGGAAGAATATGTTTTCTTGCATCTAAACAGTCGACTGGTCAGCTTTTGATGAAGCCATGACTGAAATGCTTTGAGGAAGTTATTTTCATAAAATAAACTACAACTGTTAAAATACATGAGTAGATGTGTGCTGGAATGGACCTGAAGAGTTCATGTCCTTATCTTGCCCAGGACAGGATCAACTATAGCTTTCATTCCAGCTGTTCTTAACCTTTAGGCTAAGGTGGAACATCACAACGTTCCTAGGTAATGTAGTCCAATACTTTTCTCTCCTTATTGCTTGAAAACTTCTCTTTCTGTGTTTTATGCCCATGGCTTCTTGCCATGGTACAGTGGTACTTCTCTTCTTTGCAGTTACTGCTTATATTTGAAGACCATTACTCCACTTCTCCAGCTTATCAGGATCAGTCTGAATTCTAATCCTGGCTTCCAAGGAGTTTGCAGCCCCTGCAGCTCAATCATCCATGCATTTAATAAGCATGTTGCATATTCCATTATTCAGTATTTTCATTAATGACTTGGTTAGTGCCTGAGACAGTCCTCAGTGGAATCCTACTCTATTTATCTTTCCAATTAGACAGTGAGCTGCTCATAATTAACTTCTGCATACAGTTTTGCACACCTAGTTACCTCTAGACCGGGTTTCTTTGCCTTACTTCTAAGACAGTAAAGGGATTAATATATAATATAACATATCAATTGCTTCTCCTCCTAATAGAAAATTGTAACCTTTCATGAAAATTAAAGAGTTTGACATGATTTGTTCTGACCAAATCTGTACTGCTTATTATTCATCTGTTATATGTTCCCCCATTTCCTGAACTTCGTGTTTAATTCTTTTGTTCTTGTTTTTCTTTGAGATAAGCACTTTCCTCCTCAAGTTTTTTACAACACCCTGTGTTATGTGAGTTCTCAAAGATATTTGTTATGGCTCCTAGACCTCTTTAGCCAGTATTGTAACTATCATAGCATGAATTTCCCTAATCTGCCAAGATGTAAAAATATCCAAGCTCTTGCTAGCAAGATCTGTTCTCACCTGAGTTTTCATAGATGTCTCATTGTCACCTGTACACAGACACCCTTCCTGGGAGCAATAAGGCAAAAGAAGGCATTAAACACATCAGTCTTTTCAATAGCATCTATTAATAGCTATTTCTCTCCATTGAGATTCCTTGGCCTTCCTCTTAATTATTTCTAGTTTACTTCTTGACATTCTCACTTTCTCTTACTAGTTTATTTGGCATGTCCCTCTCTGATTATTATGTCTACATGTCCATGCTATTTTTGGTACCCAAATTAGTCATTTAACACAGTTTCACTTTCTGTTCTTCTTTTTTTGCATGAGTATTTGCCTGAGTGTAATATTTGTGATTTAACCAGATGTATGTCTTAATATATTGTCTATCTTTCAGTAGTACAGAATGTACTTCTGCCCTCTAATTCCATCCTAAAAGAATGGCTACCTCTCATGATCTCCTTTCCCCATGAAGTTATTTCTAAGGGGCTCTTTCCTGCAAATTCTGAATGCGTTGAAGGCAATTGTATTATTTCTTTAGTCTGTCTCCTTCACTGCCTTAGATTCACAAACAAAATTACTCTTCCCCAGGAGGGCATTGCAACGCCTAAACCCAGAGATCCTGAGGAATCTCTGACCTTGGAGCTTTCAAGACTCAGCTAGACAAAACCGTGGCTGACCTGATCTAGCACTGGCAATAGTCCCACTTTGAGTTGAAGGTTAGATCAGATGTTCTCCAGAGGTCCCTTTCAACCAACATCTCTTGGATTCTGTTCCATAATCTGACTTTCTAAATTTCATTCCACTTTTACATTCTCAGCTAGTTCTTTTCTGTTACTTAAGATCAAATCAAGATCTCTTTCCTTTGCCAGAAGAGTTGTCAGCAACAGTTTCACTAAGACTTAGACTGAATCTTTCTTTTCAGAAGACCTCACAGTAGTAAATCTTCAGCTGTAACCAAGCCCTATGATTCAGACGATTCTCGATTCTCCTAGTTGCTCATAAAAATAATCATTTACCTCGTTTGGCAGTTAATTAGTAAGAGCCCTTTGCCTCTGCTGTAGACTCAGTGCAGCAGAGGATCTGAACCATGTGCTGAGTAACATATATAGCGCTTTGTTTCTGTGTTGAAGTAAGGTGTATAGTAAGAGAAGTGTCGGTATAGCTGATCTTCAGTGTGTTCAGATGGCCAGCTCAAAGGCTGTACAGAGACATCCACAAATAAGCAGTTATGAAAGTGGTCAGTAGAGGAAGTTTCTCCTTCACCATTTAATAAATTACTGATGGTGTATACTCTACCTACAATATGAGGAGTTATATAGCTTTTTTTAAAAAATCATTCAATCCAACAACTTCTATTATCAATAAAATCTCAGTTCAGCTCACCCAATTTTAGGCACTTGACTTCAATGCTCCAGTGTAGGAGCAGTAACAGGCAGTTATTAAGTCTGTCATCCAGACTGGTATTTGGGAAACAATTCTTCTGGGTGAGGCGTCCTTACCATAGTATCGATCCTAACCTACATTCCTCAGAGAAATGCCTATGGTAATGTGAAATGAATCATATAAAAATGTTGTGTACTTTTATTTATTAAAATATTTTCATGTTACTCCCACCTGCTAAGCAGTTGGCCTTAGTGAGATATATTTTGGCAGCAGGAAACCTGCTGTGTATTTATCAATAGCATTATTTCAGTTCCTGCAAGACCGAACTATTATTTTTATTTATTATTCACTTTATATGTTAGTCACTGAAAAGAAAGTGTCAGCACTAGAATGTTTCTGGAAGACTAGACTGGTTTAGGACCCAAAACGCCAAGAAAATCTTCTGAGAAGAATAATTCCCGGATGCAATGCAGTATTTCTGGAGTCCTCCCAAGCAGCAGGAAAGTTTTAGTAAGAAGGTTTTTCCCACAGGGGAAAACAAAAGGGTTTTTTCTGATTTTTCCATGTTGCTGTTTGGCATTAGGATGTCCATTATATTATCTGATTAGCTGCTTGACATGGAATACTAACAAAACAATGCCCGGAATGGGCAGAAAAAGTAACGTGCTGATCAACTCTGTTAACTCTGTACAGCCAAGGAAAAAAGCTACTTGTGGGCAAAAAGGCTTTATAAAGCCTTAAATCATCTTTACAAGAAAGAATGTATTTCAGTAGTAGGTTATTATGAATTCTGTAATTAGTTTCACAGCTGCCCAGCTATACACTGTCTCCAGCATAGTAACTACTATTCAATATCCCTGAGCAGACATTCAGTTCTCTACAGGCAGATGGTCTCTTTTGCAAGTTATTGTGTGAAGAAAAAAAAAGCATGCCATTTGTTTACAAAGGAAAGAAGCTTGTACTTGAGTAAAGAATGTGATAAATTGTGTTTTGCTTTACAGAATATTCAGAAAAGATTCTGCTTCCTAACCTGCGATGCAGCTAGTTACTTGGGAGACAACCTGCGAGGAATAGGCTCCAAGTTTGTGAGGTCTTCTCAGATGTTAACATCATGTTCAGAATGTCCCACCCTTTTTGTAGATGCAGAAACAGTGAGTATATTCCTTTCAAAAGGCGTGTGCTGCATTGCAGTGTCTTATCTTACTGGCTCTTTCACTTTTGAGTAACTCCTGAACACCTCCTATCTCTAATTTTTATCTCTTGTTCTTAACCATATTTCCATTAATTTTCCATACTATTTTATTAGGTAAGCACTGGCAGATGGGCAATATAGAATCATAGAATAGTTACAATGTGTTGAGCCTGCGTGCCAAAAAACAGTATAAAACAGGTGCCTACCGGACCCAGTTGGCTCCACAAATGGAGAAGGAGAAGCTATTTTTTACATAGTTCAGCATGAAAGATGGCAGTATGTTTAATGATTTCATTTCAGTCAACTGAGATGTGAGCTGGATGATAAAAATATATATTAGGGAATGAATGAGATGGCCTTTCCCATCGTTTTCATTCTGGCCCAGGTTTATCCAACAGCATCAGGACAGTGTGGCCTCACACAGAAGTATGGAGGTAGGAACTTACAGAGTGTAGTCTCAGGGCTGCTGCCGTGACAGTGGAAGAGTTGTGCCTTACATCATCAGAGAGCTGTGGAGACTAACTGGTTAAGCTCTGTGCTGTATTTTATTTTAGGGAAGTCCTCTGCAAAGCTGTTAAACACAGAACACGATTTCAATTCCACATGATCATAGGTGCAACTTTTGCTATTGAGTTTTCAGTATAGTATCCTGTTTATGGATATCTTTGCACAAATACAAATATTTTTCAGTATTATTATCTGTAAATCTAAGTATTCTTTTGCAAGATCTTTACTATATTTTCTACTCTGCTAATATTTTTATTCTTTTACAGTGACATTTACTAGCCCTTTTGATTTCATTTCTCCAGCTGCTCTCTTGTGGCCTTCTTGAAAAGCTGAAGTTCAGTGTTTTAGAACTGCAGGAGTACCTGGACACATACAACAACAGGAAAGAAGCAACGCTCTCGGTATGCTGCATTATGTTATGTTCTTGGGTTTGTACCTGTGTATACTTATGCTATGTCAGGAGACTGCAGATACACTCAGATCTCTTTAATATTCAGGAGAAAAGCATGTTTCAGATACTGGATTCATTAAATGTTTCTTCCTGAACATATGAACCAGAACTAAAAAAATAGAATCATTGGCATTTTTAATATTCCTGGTCTCTCCTTTCTCCTGTTCTCCTAATTAATTTTCTTGGGTTATACAATTCAAATACTAATAGAAATCAAGATTATACTTTTAAAATTACAGTCAAAAAGTAAATTGTCACAATCTATGTGAATAAAAAGTGCACTTGCAAAGTTTTATTTGTTTACATGCTGTGCTGTGAAACTAACGTACTGCTTACCTTTCTTCAAATCAAACTATAGGCCTTATTCATACCTTCTTTTAATTTCTCTCTGAAAACAGTGGCTTGCAAACTGCAAAGCAACATTTGCTGGAGGCTCACGAGATGGAGTTATTACCTGCCAGCCAGGGGACTCAGAAGAGAAGGTAATAAATGAGCAGTATTATTTCTCTCCTATAAAGTGACATGCGTGATTTATCTTGTTCTCAGACCCACAAAAGCCTGCAGTACTTCCTCTCTGTCTCTCTGCTGGGCTTGGGCATAACCCAATTTTCACACTTAAGGCTCGAAGGTATTGTTATTGCCTCAGTCCTGGCCACAGGAAATGGGAAGGATTCACAGGCAATACTTCTGCCTTCCTAATCTAGATAAGGAAGCAGAACTAATCCTGCCTGTGTGCTCTCCCTTTTAGAAAGATGTTGCAGCAGCAGTTTCCCCACAGCACAGTGTCTCTGAAAATCATTCCAGGTGTACTGTGCTTCCACATTACACTCCTTGTATCCACAGCTGTTGGAGACTCGGTCTGACCAACCGGAATACTTGCCTGGTTGAAATCCACTTAGATGAGTAGTTATGAAATAATGACTGTAAAATGGCCAGTGAAATAGTTCATGCTGTAGATAAGTATTTATAGCTAAGGCAAAATATCTCTTTATCACATCTGAATAAAAGTTTTACATGCATGTGCATATGTATATCTATATCTATATATATATATTTAGTGTGTTGATTCCAGTTAAGAAATCAATCTTTTCGGAAATCAGCACCATCAGCAGGCATTATTTGATATACTAAGTATAGGAGACAGCTGGTATCTTAGTGGTTATTTTGTGGGTTGTTTTTTTTTTCTTTTGGGGGAAAAAGAATGGAGGGATGGGAAAGAGAGGGGGCTGGAGAGAATTAACCAAAATCAGAAAGCAGCAACAGCATGTAGAAAAAAGTGGCATCTCCTCTTTCCATGTATTTTAACTTACAAAAGTAATGATGACATTTTCAGAACACACAGTTGCCTGTTGTAACCATTGTTTTCAAATCCTTTGTTTTATTCTTATGTTGGTTTCAGTTTGTCTGTCTTCTCCCCCAATTCACTTTATTTACTTCTCTTTTTATCTTAACATCTCTTTCCCACCTCTATGTATTTGTCTTTCTGTCTTTGAATTCCCTTGATTTTTCTTTTTTTTTATGCCATTTCCCAAGAATCCCAAATCCTTGCCACCTCTGCATTTTGGCTTCCTTGACCTTATTAGCAAATCTAATTTGCTAATAAATCCTCTGGCTGCAGTCACAGGCAGTGGGAAAACTGTTCAGTCTTCCCCCACCTGGCACTGGCACTAGCAAAAGTTAGAGGCACCTTCCAATGCGTTTAAATAAGATACTGTCTCTTCTGCAGTTGTAATGGTGTACAAGGAAGTTACAAGCGAGCTGTTCTCAAATCTAAACCAGAAGGACCTGGAACACATGCTACTACCTCTCCTGCAAGTCCATCAGGAGAGGGAGATAACGTATAGATGGGGAGGTGTAACTATTGGAACATGCATCGGCTTTCTCTTCCCATTGATGCACAACACCCTGAAGACTGACTTCAGACTGCAGTGTTACATACCTTGCTGCATGCACCTTAACTTACCCTCTTTGTCCCTCTTTTGCAAAACCATAGAATGGGATGATCACACATCTTGCTAATAGTCTACATTGGTTCTTTTTTTTAAAAGTAGAGGAGAGAGAATGTTGAGGATAAGGAATAAACTGTGATGTGAGCTCATATAGCTGGCCTAAATGCATCTAAAAGTTAATAAATGTCATGTTCCACTTGTGGGGTTTTTTTTTTAACTAGGTGATCTCTGTTTCAGAATTAAATGTGTTTTGTGAAGCTGGGGTTAGTATTCTCACTGCTTATCAAACAGACCAAAAAGAAGGGTTTCTCACTCCTGCAGGAATCCCTGGTCTCTCCCCAGCATTGTTCCTTCATCCCAAAATGCATTATTCCTTGGAAGTTGGAGGTTGGTAGGTCTTTGATCAACAGACATATTTCTTTTCTTCCCCTTCTCATTCACCTGTCAATTGAAGCAGCTCTTCCCAGGGGAACATTCTGTTTATTCAACAAAAGTGTAATGGGAGGAAGAGTCCAGGGAAACTGAAGAAATATGATTAGGAAGGGACAAGGAAAAATTACTCCTAGACTGACAAGTATTTGTTTCCTGACCTTTCCTCTCCTCCCTCAACCTGAAAGGTTAAAGAATCTAATAATTGTAGG